GCCCCGCTCCGCCCCGCCCCGCTCCGCCCCGCCCCGCTCCGCCCCGCTCCGCTCCGCTCCCCCGAGCTGCGCCTGCGCAGAACCCCGCGCGGGGGAGGTGCCCTTGGGGCCGAGGTGCGGCAGTGCTTGATGCCACCCGGTGACGTCACTCAGATGACGCCACCCGGTGACGCCACCCGGTGACGCCAGGGGCGCGCCGGTGGCGGGGGGTGGCTGGGCCGGGGCCGTCGGCGCTTATGGAGGACGAGGACTGCCCCGACCTGGTCCCGATAGGCGCCGACGGCGCGGAGCAGAGCGATGCCGGCCCCGGCGGCAAGATCCCCGTGACGATCATCTCGGGGTACTTAGGTGAGGAGCGGGAGCGGCGCGCGGCAGGGACTGCGTGCAGGCAGGGAAGGCCCGGGCGGGCCGGGGCTGCCGGGCGGAGCCTCCGCCCCACGGGCCGGGTGAGCAGCGCGGGGACCTCCGGCTGCTCCAGCGCATTTGCCGGGCCACTCCGAGCAGCGGGGTAAGCACCCCTTGCTGCTTTCACCACCCTGCTTTCAGGCGCCGCTTCGTTCAGGTCACGATTGACAAATGGCTCTTGATCGCTTGGCGTCAGAATAGTGCAACATATTTGGCTCAGGTAAATGCAGACTGCGTTGCAGTCTGAGAAACGTGAGGTTCGGCGTTTTTCCCGTACCCCTCGACCAGCAGAGTTACTGTGTGCCACATGCAGTTATGGACTGTAAGGATCTGGTTAAATTTAGGATCGCCATCACTATTCTAAAAGTTGTAACTTTGTACTGCACTACTCTGTTGCAGAGAAAAACCTCTTAAGGACAAGTAAGGAAGGTTCCCTAGTTGTAGTGGTCACCTGCTTTGGCCTAGATGATCTCCAGACATCCCTTCCACCCTTGACAATTCTTTGATCTTGTGCATGGCATAAAACGGCTCCTAAGGTGGTGTCGCAGGAGCTGTGAACACGGTTTTTAACAATGCCCCATTTAAAGGCAGTTAGTAGCACATCCGTGGTTACCGATGGCAGAACTGGTCAGAAAAGGCAGTAAGAGGGAGGAGATTAAGTGTGCCTTTTGTTAAAAGAAGCATAAAAGTTAGTTTTGTAGGAAAAATCTCCCCAGCTAGTAGAGGACTTGTAAGTTTAGCAAGTACTGACACTTAATGAATGGAAAAACAGTGAGTCATTTAGGACTGAGATTTAATGTCCTGATAGTTCTATGGGTTGAAACATATATACAAATTAATTTCTACATCATTAGAATAGAATGTAGGATAATAGAATGAAAACTTCTATTTAGAAGATACTTGCTTGAAGTGTGCATGCGCATGCATAACAGTATTTAGTTTTTTTTATTTGAAATTTACTGTGGGGTTTTTACGTTTTAATAGAAATATGGTTTGTGTTCTAGGAGCTGGAAAAACAACTCTTCTAAATTACATACTGACAGAACAGCATAATAAAAGAATAGCAGTTATCCTGAATGAATTTGGAGAAGGTATGTAAACGTGCAGAAATCTTTCTTTTTGCCACAAAATGTCGAGTACATAAAACTGCTGGAAACCAAGACTGTTGTAATTTTAAATCCATTACTGAAATTGTTAACATACCTCACAGTCTTCAGAAGGGCAGAAAGTCTTTTTGCTGGTTTTCATAAAGAAGTGACATGCATTAATCTGTTTTAGTAAATAAAGGCATCACCCTCTTGGAAGTGCTCTACCTCCATTTGTCCCACTCAGTTTCAAGCAAATGGAAATTAAAATAATATGTTGGTAGATAATATTTTCTTTTATTTCTTTTCCCCTCAGCCATTTGCAAATCACAAATTATCCTGGACCAAGAAAATGGGGAGATGTCTGCTTGATGGCTATGGTTATTTGAACTCTTTGCTTTCAGGATTTTTAATTGCTCTAGCTATAATTTCATATCTGTACCATAGTTAGAAGCTTACATTTTTTACAGTGTATACTGTGTTGGTGGGGGATTTTTGTTTGTTTGTTTTCATCAATAAAGATGTGTGTAGCTTTTCTGGTCACAGAGCCTAAAATAAAACGTACAGACAGAACCTTTATTTGATAGGCTGGCATCCCTTTCTTTTAGCAAAGTTTGTGGCACTTACGATGTACCATCATCCAGTGGGGTTTGATCTTTGTGGAATGAGCTTTGTTTTGGCTTTTAAATTTCTCATAAAATAGAAAATACAAATTTCTTAATAGCATGTCAGAAATGTGGTCTCAGGAGAAAAGAATGTAATCCACTTATCTCTCTCTTTCAGGCACTGTCATGCAAGACTGTAGATTAAAAATATACTATACCTGTGTTTTCAGGAAGTGCCTTGGAGAAATCTTTGGCAATCAGTCAAGGGGGAGAACTCTATGAAGAATGGCTGGAGCTCAGAAATGGCTGCTTGTGCTGTTCAGTAAAGTAAGTAAGGACTATTGTACAAGTTCTTCCAGTGGAGATTGTGGGGAATTGAGGAAGGGAGAAGACATCCAGGATTTGATTCCTGAAACTAATGGTAGAATTGATTGAGACTTCTTTTGTCAGATGAAACAATTGGAATTTGGGAGGTAGAAATTTATTTCCTGTCACTGCCTTACTGGATTTGGACTTGGTGTCTTTCAGAGAAGTAATCTAAATAACAACTTATACACCATGGGGATATTACAGAGTAGGGATCTATTCCTCTATTGTTACTATAATGTGCTTCCATGTGGAGCAGGTGAAGATTCAGGTAGGCTAGAGCTAGGACTCTGATTTCCCAATTTCCTCACAAAACACGTAGTCTGCTTCTTTCTTTGCACATTGGTTACTACTTCAATATTGTATTCATTATGTAAAAGGATGAATGGAAAACCTTTTGTCACCTAATGAAACACAGTATCCAAATCTGTAAGCTGATGATCATGGTAAAAAGCAAGAGAGTATTTGTTCCTTTGACATGTTTTTTTACCCTGTTTATTTCAATGCTGAATTGTCGGTGCTAAGTTTGTAAATAAGGGTCACAGCCTGTTTGTTCTGAAAATTTGGGAGAACTGGTCTTACGCCTTAAATAGTAATAGGTAGTAAGTGGAAAAGAGAGCATCTTACTGCATTCTGTTGTTCTGGGGTGTAAGGAATGCTGTCTTAAGAGAAGCATAGAAGTTTTATATACATTTCTTTATTGTATTTATATGCTTTTTTACATGCTGCTATGTTTTATATACACTGGTGTCGTATATAAATGCTATACATTTCTGCTTCAGGCTGACTTAATCAGCTCTAATTTAAGTAAATGGCCTGTTAATCTTGATGTAGGTGAGGTAGAAAGGCAGGCCAGCATGCTTCACTTCTGCCTCACCCCTTATTTCTGTAATATCAGCTGCCAAACCAAGTAGTTACATATCTACACAGCCCTACTGTCCTTTACAAGTTGTTCAGTATTTGAAAACAAATCTTTAGGTCACCTGATGTGATTAGGCAAATGCTATTTTCAGACTAAAATGAAGCAGAAAACTAAAATTTGCCTAATAATACGCCAGCAGATAACTAAATTTTCGTTGCAGACTGTAAGTCTGCAAATGTCCTGTCTCAGAACTTCTGCTTTGATGATACTGACACTGTGTTCTGCATTAGAAGATACATTTAAATACATGCTTTAGCTTATTTTCTCTGTTCTCAGATTTAATTGTTTCTTCTTACAGGGACAACGGTGTGAAAGCAATTGAGAACCTGATGCAAAGGAGAGGAAAATTTGACTATATATTGTTAGAAACAACTGGTTTGGCAGATCCAGGTAGTTCACATTACAATTTTCATAACCATGATAATTATTCTGGTTTTATGAAGTGCTTATTTGCTCACCAGTTAGTTCACTTTGACAGTTGTGATATAAAGTGGTGGGTTGTCAGGCACCTATGCTTTGGTGGTGGTACAGACTCCAATGAATTGATTCAAGGTGCAGATATGAGGTTGTGTTTGGTTGAGTTCTCTTTGCTGAACTTGTTCTAAATTGAATCTAAAGCTTAGTAGAAATCCAGCTAAAATATATTTCCATTTAGAGAAGATACTGGGCTTAGCAAAGAAAAGCATACTCTGAAACTAGTAGTTTTCAGTACACTTTTGATGTTCTACATTCCTCCTTTTAAAGTCTAGTTAGCATCTGTTGTATTGTTATACTTGTTGTGATAAGCCTTATATTTTGTGGAGTTGTAAAATATACTGTGAAACAGACTAGTACATTCTTCTTAAAGAGCAATAATAGATTTTACAAAATCCTTCTGTGTTCTTTAGTAGTATTTATTATAAAAAAGGTGTTTAAACTTGAGCTCATGTTAGGAATAGCTATCCAAAACAGTTTTCTTTAAACCATCCACATTAAAAATCTGTTATAGATGGAGAGGGAAGGAAATTCTTACCAGAAATTCAATTGTTTCCCCTTTAGGAGACTGGTGCTTTCCAGCTCAAAGCTAAGTAGTTGTCATTATAAAGTAATTTTCTTCAGAGGACAGGACATTGATTTGGCCTCTGTTACACACAAATTCTGTTTGAGTCAAATTGGAAAACTATTAAGCTTTTTTGAAAAAAATCAATAGATACCAGAAAACGATTTCATGTTGTGGTCCCTGCTATATCTTGCCTGAGTAAGCACTAGAACAACTGACAGGTATTTGGGTCTGATACAGAGTGATGTTTGAAGGACTGCATCGTATCACTTCAGGTAGACAGTTTTAGGTATTGGAATGACTTACTCACTAATCTTATTGTTAGCACTGCAAATACAGTTTTTCTATGAAATAGTGTTGGTAGTTTACTGAAAAAATACCAATTTTGCAACTGTATATATATTACACTTCTTAGGAGCTGTGGCCTCCATGTTTTGGGTTGATTCTGAGCTGGGAAGTGACATCTATCTTGATGGTAAGAAGTGCAAGCTTATTTTCCTGTGTATTGACACTTGATATCTGGATTTAGAGTAATGTATTATTGGTGTTTAAAGGCAGGGTGTCAGAAAATGTTTGAAATGTATGAACTTAGATTTCACGCTGCCAGATTTGATCACAGATTTGATCATTGCTTATTCTGATGCTTGTTTATTTACTTGGAGAGGTGCTCAATCTTGCTAAATCCAGCAAAAATTGTGTAATGCTTTTCTAAGGGATCAGATATGGACAGCTCTTAATAGTGATGTAAGGGGAAAATCTCATTACCTAGTTGTTATAAAACCTCATTTAGGAGTAATATTACAGCATGTTTTTTTTCTCTTTCTTCCTTCCCCCGCTTCTGCTGAAATACAGTGTTTCCTAAAGGGTTTCCTATTTTTCTGAATTTAGAACTTGTCAACACCTGGATGTTTCTGCCTTGTGTTTTCTGCTTGCTTTACCTATTGTACACGTTAGCTTGAATATTTGCTGTGTTCTAATAAAAACCTGAGATTACTGAAAGATAAGTCATCATTATACGTAGCTAAAGAGCAATATTTTTTAATGTAGGAAAAAAATTACTTTTTGACTTTAAAAAAATGCCCTACTAACATTTTGGTCAGTCTGTGAAATACCCATCTAACCAAGGAGGGAAACATTGAATTCAAGAAGAAAGAACTTCCTAAGTTTCTGCCAGAGACTTGCAAATTTCTGGTCATTTACCATCAGAATGACTGCATACATCAGTCAGTCCCTTAATTTGTTTCATTATTCTGTTAAAGCATACCTCAGCCAATTTCCTCTTATGGAAGATGAGGCATCTACTTTGTGAGAGTTTCTTACCTGGTTCTGTAGACCTTTTACTATCACAGATATGACAATGAATAAAAAAATACTTAGGTAACAAGTTTAATGTTCACAGACTTTCAGTGCTTCCAGTTTATTATAACTAGTTGTAAATGTGCTGATATTGTTGCCTTTGTACAGGAGGTTTGCAAGTTGTTAAACTGTCAGCCGCTTTCAGCACATTTCTATTCCATTTTAATGTTTTCTTTTAGGTATAGTGTCTGTTGTTGATGCAAAGCATGGATTGCAGGTAAGTTACTAGATTTGTTACATGGTTTAAAACTGCAGCATGAGAACAGCTATTGCAGTAATGTACATGTGGATTAATTAATTTTAACAATAGCTGGAATTCTTAGATTGAGTGATGACGTATTTCATTATTGCTATCTTTTGAATGGCTCAAGGAAGTACTGGTATTTGCAGGAATTTAGATTCTTAGAGATACAGAAACAGGTGTGACAAGAGTTGCCAGGTTGCTAAATACTTGGTTTCTTCTGTCTCTTCACTCGGGAATGTTGCTTTTAATCCAAATAGGCATTTGGATTGCTGTAAAAACAATGGAAAAATTGGTCACTGGTCTGTGTTACTTGAAAGGAGAGGACTAAGAACAGATGTCTTTTACCAATGTGGTAACAACTGAGGGCTTGAGCTGTGAAGGGTACTAATGTAATGGTAGCTGTGGCAGGGAAAAATGAGAGCACAGGTGTCTTGGTACTGCTTCACATTAAAATATTATATGGAAGCAGACAAAAAGAGCAGGTATTAGAGTAATCTGTGTATAAAGTATAATGTAAGAATATATGTAATAATGTAAGTATAATGTAAGACATATAGAACAGTGAGCTTGGGTCAGCAAAAATTGTCATTAATTCAAATAGTGCAGCTTTTTTTTTTCCCTTTTTTATTTTTGGCAATAGGTGAGTGTAAATATAGCTACTTGCGACTTAATAACTTAGCAGGTTACTGCTTTGATTGGGTATTGATTTTGCAGGATTCAGAAAAAAAGTGACCATTTGAAAAAATGCCTTCATTGTGAGAAATGCTGCTCACTTTTAAAATTTCACAGGTTTGTTAAACCTTAACAAAATACAACAAAAGGACTGAATAAAGAGAAAGACCATACAAGGGGGGAAAGGGGATTATGGGGAAAAGAGAGAATATCCAAACAGCAAATCACAATAACGTAACTATACATCAACAGAACTTCTCTTAACATACGTATAATATTCATCTCTTAATTGCGAGAGCCAACCATTGCATTAACCATCTATACAAAACCCCCTTTTTTCTTTTCTATAAGTCATTTGGCTCGAGCAGTTAATTCTCATTTTTAATTTTGATGATCTACTCTTCTCTTGAGTCAAATTTAATTTTGGATGAGTCATAATAGTATCTGTTGATGTGAGTGAGGACAGTGGGATCAGGGAAAAAAAGACACCTCAGGTTTTGCTTAAGCAAAATGGTTAGTGGAGTTGGTGACATGAATTGGTTGGAGCAGACAAAAGGGAATCACAGGGGTCTGGTATGGCTTTTTTTCCCCATTTACCATATCCGTGGGGTTGCTACCTATAGCAGGTGTATCATGGGGGCAAGTATAGAGGCTAACTTGAGTTAGCTGTCTAGCCTCTGTTGTACTCTGTTTGTCAGTTGTACCTGTATTGGATTCTGTAGGGAAAAGACAACTGAGGTCTGCTATAGCTTCTGCCCTCACCTTACTGAGCTTACAGGGTTGCTGCCCGCAGCAGGGCTATATAATCTTCTCGGTGGCAAGCACAGGGGCCAGCCTGGTCTTACCCTCAAGTGAACCACCCCAGCCCCTCTCACTGTTCCCCGCATACTTCCCCTCAACAGACACTCCCAATCCCCACCCATTAAAATAGAACAATTACTTCAATAACTGATACAATCAAAATTCCCCATCCAAAGTGTTACTTGAAACAGTCCTCAAGCTGGCTAGTGGAAGCGTGGCTCTACTTTTTGGACATCCTCGTACTTCTCTAGTTGTCTCTGCTTAAGAATGAAGCTTGTCTTGCTTGGTCTGGATGTTATAGTCCATTCTTTGGGTTCTTTCATCAGGCCTTTAATTCTGTTGACACGAGTCCATTCCTGCTCTGCAGTTTGCACAGCTGATTCATGGTTAGCAGTTTAATGCTTTAAAACCTTTCCCCTTCTGCGCCCACTACTTGCACAGTATTTTGACTCTTCTTGCATCCCTTTTGAATTTTACAAACACAAGTTCTTTCAGCTCTCGTGTCTACCAGAAATTCAAATTCTTCCTCTTGGAGACTTACTTTAAGGCTACCAAGGGCTCCTCATGCTACTCTGTTCCCAGTAGGTAGAGCCCCTGACACATCTAGTCTTCTCCCTCCCCTCTCTGCTCGTTCTTGTAAACCTTCAGGTCCCTTTACCTTTGGCATGTTGTCCTGGATTAGGGCAAATCTGGGAGAAAACCTCCAAAGGGGGCCCCCCCGGAAAGCAAAGCCACACAGCTCCTTTCCCCCACCGGTTTGGGAAGGATTCCTCAGAGAGAAGTGGAAAGAACCTGTTTATTTAACAAGCAAAACAGCCCCAGCACACAAAATGAACAATACCAGATGACAACACTTTCACTGATCTGAAAAGGATGACAAATTCAGAAAGTCTTTCCTGGGAGTGGTCGCTCTGTTTTTGCTCCCTCTGATGCTGGGGATAGCTGCTGCAGCCACAAGATGTAAACTCTCCGTGTTCCCCAGGCCCCAGTCCGGAGCAGGTTTGAGGGGTTCCAAGAAAAGGGAAAGGAAAAACAGTCCAGGGAAAGATTTGGACTGCTTAGCTAAACTAACTAACGAGCAGAAGCAAAAAGCAAGAGCAAAGCAGGAGCAAAGCAAAAAGCAAAAGCCGCCTGTCTCTGTGTCCCGCCAGCTGTGGGGGAGCAGGATGATAACAAACCAAAACAAAAGATTCGCTCTTCAGAGCCAATCTTGAAGGCACAGAACATAATATCCAGCACTAACAGAACACACGACTGGGGATACAAGCATCATAACCTCACCCTAGGACACATGTGCAAAGGGAAAAGGACCTGAAGGTTTATGAGATATGTCCATTTTTCTTACAATAAAAACAAATATGTTCTTCTCTAATGGCAGTTAACATTACTCTGGCCTTTTCCTTTGCTTTCTCTTTATCCCTCCTGATGTACCTTTTCTGTGCCTCTCTTAAGAGATCCTCTAATCCCCTTTCTTGCCAGCTGTCCAACTTCTGTAATTTTCTCTGTATTTCTGGCCATGCATGGGTGATGAAATACATCTTCAGCAAGGTCTGTCTGGCTGCTGTGTCAGGGTTGATACCTGAATACTACCTCAAATTTTTCCTCAACGTTTCTAGCAACTCTGTTGGGGTTTCTTCCCTCTCTTGTTATTCATCAAATGCCTTACAAGCATTCTGGCTTTGTGGGGCTGCCTCTTTAATACCCCTTACAATTAAAGTTCTATAATCCTTCCTCCATGTTTTGCCTTCCCCCGAGGTTGTTGTGGTCCCAAGTGGGGTGTACAGTGGGCATCTTCAGATCCCCAGGAGGTCCTTGCATGTGCTCCCTTTCCTATATCTGCATCCCAGCCATCCAGATCATCTGTCTTTCCTGTGGTATAAATAACATGGTCATTATTGATTACATTTCATCCCATGTATAAATGCTGGCCTTAAAAATTAATCTAACTGTTCTTTTGGGGTCTTCTAGTAATCCTTTTAACTCTTCCTTGAGCATACTCACATTAGAGGAATTGAGCGGTATAGTTAGAAATCTACACCCCACCCAAGTAGTATTTCTCTCAGAGGATATAATCTCACTGCTTGTTCTCATCCCTTGGACTGTCTTCCTCTTGCTGTCCCATTCTGTTTCTAGTATTTAGACTAGGCCCATGAAAGGACAAGGGAAGTGTGGTTGGTGCCAGTGCAAGTGTAGGGAGCAAATAGTCTAATGGGTCCCATTCTTTATTCTTTGTTACTTTAAACATGCCCACCCTTGAGGGCGAGATTTCTTCTTCACAACAAGCAGCGTAGTCACTCTCTTCTTGATTAAATGGTTTTGTAGCCCTTACATAGATGTTTAAAGCCTGACATATCCACCCTTTGTCCGACCCCTACCTCAGCCAAAGTACACGATTGGGCCTAATTTCCCCCACAGTGCACTCTGTCATATAGTACTCTATCATCTTAGCCTTGTCCTTATCTCTGCTGTTGGGGTCATATTTCGACTGGGCTACTCTTCTTCCCAGGGGGCTGTTTGAGGGAATACCTGTTCATATCTCTTCACTTCCTCCTTCTTCCTTTGGGGATTCCCTACTTGCTCCTAGTCCTATCCCAACAGCCAATCACAGGCCCTCCTAACATGGCCTGCCTTCCCAATCAGTCAGTTGCAGGCCCTCCCAACAAGGCTCACCTTCCCAATCCGCTAACTACAGGCCCTCTCAACAAGGCTAGCCTTCCCAATCAGCCAACCATAAATCCTCCCAACAGAGCCTGCCTTCCCAATTGGCCAACCACAGGGCCTCCCAACAAGGCCCACCTTCCCAGCCAATTACAGGTTCTAGCCTGCTTTCTGAACAACGAGAAGAAGGAAGGGAAGGGAAGGGAAGGGAAGGGAAGGGAAGGGAAGGGAAGGGAAGGGAAGGGAGGCCCCCTTGCTTTCTTCCTGGAAAGCAGAAGCAAACAAATACCCACTTGTAGTCCCGTCTGCCGGGGTCAGCACCGCTGCAGTCTTGCACCCTGGTGCCCTCTGGTGTAGCGCAACTGCCAAAAGCCACCCAGGTGGCCTCCCGTGGTGCTGCAGCTTTATGCTGGCAGGTACCATAAGGAAGCTGGCATGGTCCAGTGCTCCAAGAGCTTCCAGTGCAGGGCAGCATCTGAAAGCCACCCTTGTGGGCTCCCGGAGTTGCTCGGCCTTATGCCGGCAGATGGCAGGGAAGCTGCTGTGGCCCAGCGCCCTCCAGCGCACCAGTGCGGGCAAGCACTGTGAGCCCTTCGAGTGGGCTCCCGCAGCTGCGCGGCCCCCGCACAACTGAGCTAGCCCCCTGTTCTCAGCAGCGCCACGTGCAAACTGCGTTCAGCAGACTCCGCTGGCTCAGCAAGTATGGAAGTTCAGCAGCGCCGTGCGCAGCCACACCTAGTGTGTCCCAACCTGCCACTGCCCCCCTCAGTGTTGGCAGCACTGCCGAGCACACACCGGCAGCTTATTGCACCAAGTGCCGCTGCACGCCGCTGTCGCATGTGGTGCCCCCGTGGTCCCACACCCTCAGCTGGGCGGTCCACACCACTCAGCTGTTCCCGCTGCTGGTGGCCCCATGCACCCAGAGCCTTCCCTTCCAGTCTGCGTGCACAGCCCCACCGATCAACACGTTCCACAGTCGGTGACTCCCACCACCAGTGGCCCCATGTGCTTGGAACCTTCCAGTATGTTTGCAGCCTCCACTGATCAGTGGTTCCCGCTGATCTAAGACCCATTAAATATGGTAAGTCATAACCTGGCCTCCCCCGGTGCTCTTGAGGTCCCCCTCCTGCTTGCAGTTCTCTCCTAAGTCTCACATGCACTCCAAGCACACTCCCAGACTCTGTCTCACACACACACTATATGCACTTTTTCAGAGGGCTTTTTCTTCACCCTCTTGTGTTTCATTACTCAGTCTTTTTTTGTCTCCTGCTGTCCACCTGCTATCACCAATGGTCCCAGGAGAGGTCAAACTTGGCAACTCTGCCAAACTCAGCTGAGGCATGCATGCATCTTGTCCAAAATCCCCTGGGGCCACAGAGATGAGGTTTTATATCCCAGACTGAGCCCCATATGTGAGAAACAACGCTCATTTTTAAAATTTCAGAGTTTTATTAAACCTTAACAAAATACAACAAAAGGACTGAATAAGAAGAAAGAGCGGCACTGGGAGTGTGGAACTAAACTGCCACGTGCTCACCGACAAAATGGCTGCTCCACCTTTTATGCTCTTGCTGTTGCATCAGCCAACCCTGGCCCCTTCCAAAGTCTGTCAGTCAACTCCTTCGCCATCCATTGGTGGAGACTACTTCCTTGCAATTTGATTGGAGGTCCGGTGTTGTCGTGCCACACCTCCTAGTAGCAAGCCTGCCCTCCTCCCAAATGCCTCATGCAAGGGTCACAGGTACATGCCCTCCTTCCATATGTCCCAACTACCAAGGCCGTCTCTTGGCAACCATGCAAGGGGGAAAAGGGGACTATGGGGAGAACAAAGGATGTCCAAACAACAAATCACAATAACGTAATTATACATTAATAGAACTTCTCTTAACATACACATAATATTCATCCTTTAATTGCAGGAGCCAGCCACTGCATTACCACATATTAGCCAGCCACTACATACAGCAATCATATAAAAATTCCATGCTGTGGAAGTGTTTTTAATATTTCTGCTTTTACAATGGTTGCAAATGGCTCAGAGAACTGAAGAATAATGGTTTAAAAATAAGAGAGTTATTCTTCCTGTGTAAGATTTTTTTTTGTTTGGATTACTTGGGTTTCTCCTTAGATTTGTGCTTATCTAATAGCTGATTTACCAAAAGTGTAAATCAGGCCAGCAGTCCTATCCTCTCATTAATTTGTGTTGGACTGGAACAGAACAAATCTAACTTCATAGCAGTTTGGCAAGTTAAGTTCATTGTGTTCTGCAAGAACTTTCGTGGAGAAGTTGGTAGAAGAGTGAGGGGAAGGGGGTGATTTGCTCTTCCAAGAGCAAATCACCCTCTTCCCCTCACTCTTCTACCAATTTCTCCACAAAAGACAGCAGTCACTGTCTTTTAAATCAGCTCAACTATCACAAGAAATTGTATCATGTTTTAGGCCAGCCCCTTTTCAGCTGGGTTCCCTCATACTAATTCCTTCATACTAATTCAGATGTGTTTTATTGCTTGCAAAAATATTGTTCTGTTTATCTTTTTCTTCATGCAGTGCTGAATTATTGTCTTAGATGAAATATAATTGTGTTGCACACAGCAGCACTAAATTTTTACTGAAAGTTAGTTTTTTAAATGCTAGACTTTCAAGTAATATAACAGAAACAACACAAAAATGTTTTGAAACGTAAATTTTCTATCTACTATTACCTGTGGCACCTAAATGAAAACATACATTATCTAATCAGTAAATCTGTAAAGCACTGACATCTACTGAGAATAGTAGGAACTTCAGACTTTCTCAGTTGTGTACTAAGTAAACTTTGCTATGGAAGGACTTACTAACTTGTTTAGTTCCTCTGATTGCCAAGCCTGACATCAACAGCTGCTTATTATTCTAAGAACTTTGAAAGCCATACAGGTAATGACATTGAGATAAGGGGCAGCAATTTAAGTATGTCATGCTTCAAAGAACCAGCCCATCTCAAGAAAAGCTGACAGACATCTCCTGTGACCAGACATACCACCATCCCTGTGCTGCCATGGGTTATCAATCTAACAGGTTTGTCACACAGCAATCTGAAATACTAATTTCTTTAATTGAGAGCAAACAGTTGGATGGCTTGAAGTTCCAGTCCTCAACTTCCAGGACCTGACACCTGGACTGCTGACATTTGCTCTTTTCAGGTCAACAAACCTAAACATTAATTGAATAAAATAAATACACAGAGGATTATAAAGAAAAGGTTAGAGGAGAGGTTCCTGAGAGTCATCTTGTTAGTCTCTGCATAGGTTGTGCAAAATTAGGAAATAGTTTTGTTTCTTTTTACATGATAGACTCACTGTATGCAATAAGCAGTTTTCGCTTTTCTACAAGTAAAATGCTGTTAGATGCCTAATAATTCCAATAAAGAAAAAAAGTTTTATAGGTTTTAAAAAACTACGTATTTCCCATGACAGTTGATTCCACTTTTAATTTGGTACTTCTGTAACTTGAAACTGAGATTTTAAAGTAATATTCCTGGTACATTTAGAGCTGATGAAGGAGTGCACAGGACTCTAACTTTCCTGGAGTTGTAAGCATAAGTGGCAAGTTCTTACTAGTAGTACAGCATCAGTTTGAAGTTTTTCTTCCTCCAGTTGTCTGTGACATTTTTCTCCTAGAGATTGCTGTCTCCATGGCAGAGCAGACAGAAAATAACTTGTAGCTAGACCTTTGCTGCTTCAGTGTAGTCTGTTGCTCTGCCTAAGTTAAGTATGCCTTTGTCTTTCTAAATATTACGCTGCTGCTTGAGATGCAGGTATTTTCTTCTCTTTCACTTATTCTTCTGTGCAGACACTAGCATGGGCAGACAAGTGGAGATGATACTGAAACTCCTGTAGCTTCTGATTTTGGACAGACTTGTCAAAGAGCAGTGGTTTATTCATACAAACCTGGAAAAAATTAGCAGTTTTTACTATCAAAAAAGTTTGTCTTGTACAGTCTTCCAGAGAAAAAGAGTGTGAAGTTGCTTATATGAAATGCTGCATTGCAAGCCTAGCCTGTGTTTTTTTAGTTGAGTTCACATTCATTTGTAAAGTAACTGAGCCTTCATTTTCTTCGAGATATATTTTTTCATTGTTACTGTATGTCATAGTAACTTTTTTACTTGTAAAGCTGAAAAGTAATTAAATATTATAAAGTTTTCCAAATCTTTAGCATTCTAATAATAAAATCAGTTAGAAGAGTTTGCTTTAAGCTAATTGTAAATCTCTGTAATGGTGAATGTATAAATTTACTTTTTCACTGTCATTTAACAGAAAGATTCTAGATGCTATTTTCCTCAATACCTTGTCAAAAAGCAGATCTCAACTGAATTGGATTTGGCTTTCTTTAATTTCAAATCAATTTAAATTTAATTTGAATATGATTAATCCAATTCTTTTAATTTTTGTTTAGCATTTGACAGAGGAGAAACCAGAAGGCCTTATTAATGAAGCATCTCGGTATGGATGTAGAAATTAATTTTATATATCAAGTTGGGAATTGCACTGTATAAAAGTTCATTGGAAATGGGTTCTTTTATAGGGCTTTTTTCTCCTGCTTTGCTTAAACTGAGGTAGATTAGTGTAATGACGTAAAATGTGGAAAAGTAACTTCATGGTTCATTTGATCTTTCTGCCAAGAACGGGCTCTTCCATTTTAATAGTGATGGGATTTTATTTAGGTGAATGAGAAGCACCTGTGTTGGGGGCATTAAAAGTTTTGTGTTAGGCTCTATGATGCTTGAAGCAGAACTGGAGATAGAGGAATACTCTTTAATGAATGTGGAACCACAATAATTAAGGGTTATTGTAACAGTTGAAGTCTTCATAAAGCAAAGAGACTTCAAGTAGTGCATTACTAGGATCACATGCAAGGCAAATAGGGATTTGTACATCAAACAAACACCAACAAACAAACAGAAGAGCCCTGAAATAAAAGAATCTAGCAAGCCTTGATTTGATCTGTTAGGGCACAGAAGAACATACTGAGGAGAAGTCAGTAGTACTTTAATCATTCTTCATGATATTCTAGTTTGATTAATGCTTGCCATTCTGTACTTACAATGTTCATACTATCTTTTGGGGCTGTAGGAGAGATGATGTTTCTGCCTTACAGATAAAGTATTCGTTAGTGATGTCTTTTTCTCTTTTTTTTTCTTAATACATAGGCAGATTGCATTAGCTGATCTTATAATCATCAATAAAACAGATTTGGTTTCAGAGGAAGAATTGAATAAAGTCAGAACATCTGTGAGGTACGAAACTTTTGGCATAACTGTAACACTACTTCCTCAAAAATCAATTTAAATGTAGTTACTTCTTTACTGCTGTTAGAATAGAAATTAGATCTCATTATTGGATTGACAAAAATTGATAAGCTTATAAGAGAAAAGAGACTGTATCTTGTGAAAGATATTTCAGTACTTCTGTGTACTTACACAATCTTAGTATTTTGTTGATTTAGATGAGATTTGATGTTATTTACTAAGGACAGGCCTTTGTCTTAAGTGTTTGCGTTTTTATGTTTCTGAGCAGCTGTTGCCATTTTTTGAGACTTAGCAGAAGTGGAAAAAAATCTGCTGGTAAATACGTGTTCACTAGCAAATGCAAAGATATATTCGGGAGGAAGTCCCAAACAATTGTCATAGGAGCAGAAGACCAGTGGTCTGAAACAAATTAATGATCAAAGACATTACTCTTTTCTATCAATACCATGATAAGCCAAATTAAACATTAACATTTTAAAATACAACTGTATTAGTTTTTTGAAATATGAAAATAAAAATGCTCAGACTAAGCAGAGTATATCGTGAATAGCTTTGGATAGGAGAATGCTCTTCTCACTGGTGGTATCTTCTTGTCAGAACTTGTGAAGTTCCCTAGCTCTTAGTGGAAACCAAATATCTCAACCCATATCTGATAGTTATTTAACAAGCTGATAACAGAGTTGGGATGCTATTTCACATGATGCTGTCCATGGTTAACATATTCAAACAATATGTCATGGTTATATTTTCCTCTAACTAATGATTTTTCTGTTTTATTTTAGGTCAATAAATGGACTTGTTAAAATTCTAGAGACACAAAGATCAAGGTATTAAATGGCCACTATTACTAGGTACTAGATCCTGCTTCTTTTGTGATAGTTTAAAGTGTTATATTAAATCAGCTTTATTAAAGGAAAATTATTGAATTAGAACTATTTAATCCAATATTTATTTTATGAATTGCTGCTGTTACTACAAAATGTCTTGAAAGCAGCGGAAGGAATTTACAAGAACAAAAAAAATCATTGCACTTCTTTTTGCTATTTTAATTGAAATTCTGACTCAGTTTTCATCTTTAATAAGGACTTCAATGGATGCTGTATTCCCAGAAGCATTAGGAAAGCAGTAGATCTTCCAGACTGCTAGGACTGATTTGTGCACTTTTACATCAATTATTGGATAATTGTGGTCAGTGTTCGTAAAATATAAGTTTTTGACTTAAGCAAATTTAAAGAGAAGGTAATAGTCATAGCCTTAATAAAGTATACATGGCTTTTTAAAGTTATTGTCAAATATAGTTGGAAATTTTAGAGAAAAATACTTGCTTTTTTTGGTTGATCATATATGACCAATTTTGAAGAAGGTACTGAACTACGTTGTTTGTGTTTTAAATGTCCATTAGAGGAAGAGCCAGCATGTGATCTTTTAGCATATTGTATGGTGTCAGATGCAAGTTAGCACTATGTTTTGGATATGACATAAAGTGGGCCTCAGATTCAGTCCTCAATGACAACTCTTTGTTACTTGTAAATATTCTTCTGTAAATGACACATATGGTCTCTTTCATTATTAAACATTCCAAATGTAAAATAAGCACAAAATTAATTGGCATGTTATTTGAAGATATACACTTTCTAAGAGGGGTTTGTCCCTCAAAAACCCACATTTAAAAGGGAGGGTTACTATGTGATTTTTTAGAATACTGCTGAGAATAACTGACACTTAGCTGGTCATGATTTTACACAGGAATTGTTTGTGTATTCCATTATAAGTGTTTCATCTTAGAAACTGCTTGGTACAACTGCTGCTGAATGTAAAAGTTCAATGATTCTGGTTGTATTCTAGAGGTGGGGTTTTTCTTACCTGTCATGTTCTTTTTATTTAGCCCCATGTCATTAACTGCATCTGAAAAGCTGTCAGTTGCTATTAGCAGTCAAATCTGTAGTCTGTATTGCTTTGTGAAGAAAAGTTTCTTATGCAAGTTTATAGGCAGCCATTCTTGTAAGCAGATATGATTGGTACTACCTATTCTGTATTACATTTTTTATTTGTCTGTTTCAAATTGGACAGTTGAAATTCTTAGTAGTAGTGTTTCCCCCATAAAGTTATTTCAGTTTTGTTTGCTAACAATGTATTCTACTGACATGTATTCCAGGGGTTTGTGTCTGTCTTGAGAGGCTCAAGGTTGCTTTTCCCCTTCAGGGAAAATAATTTATTATTCAGGCATTCAGTATAAGGGATTTTATCATACTTTTGGAAATACCTTGTATTTTACCATAAAACAGTAAAATTTTAAAAATTTTGTTTCTGTGCTTACATGTTATTGTGTAACTAAACACAGCATTTCTTGTAGAAGACAGTACCAACCACTAATATCCAAAAATAAGGCTAAGTATTAATGGCATTAGTCTTATAGACAAAAAAAGAAACATATGCTTCAGTGAACATCTTTAAGACCTGACATTTAAATACATGAAAAATACAAAGCTTTCTTTTTCCCCCTCTCTTTAGAGTTGATCTCTCTAATGTCTTGGACCTACATGCTTTTGACAGTTTATCTGGAGTAAGGTATGGTGATAATTTTGTTGTCTTTTATAAGAAAAATAATACCTGTGTATGAAACAGACACACTGAAATCCTGGCTCAAATTTGCATCTGAGTTTCTGTTAGAATTTCTAGTTTAGTCTGTCCTGTCTAGACCAGGACAGTCACATTTTAAAAATTATTGCTTTATAAGTGGTAATATCAGATGGAATTCCTTTCTTCTTCAAATGCCTGCAAAAAACTTTTTGACCATACAAAGTTAAAAGAGCCAGAGTTGGATTGTGGTTGGTTGGATTTTTTCCCAAAAATGCAAATTTGGTTTAGATTTGTACACTTCTCTGGTTCTTTTAAAGCGTTTCAAAATTTTTTCTGCTTTGTATTGTGATGAAATTGAGGCCACTGTAGATTTCACACAGAAGAATGAGGGACTGAGGTTCCACAGCAAACAAAGGCTCTACAAATTCTGATAACTGTATTTGTCATTCCTGGGGTTTTTAAATGCTGAATGCATGATTCAGCATCCTGGATGGGTGCAGAAGTAAAGTGGAAAGGAAGAGGGAGAGGTCTTTCTGTTGACTGTGTGTGCTGAAGCGCAGCAAAGAGAGTGAGGAGTACTGGAGCTATCATAAAGTGTCGTTGTTGGGGTGGTCACGACACAACGAAGAGTAATAGTCATAACTATCAACAAAATTAACATTCTTATTCTCAGTACAATCATTCTTGTCTCTCATTCATCTATAAGTGCTTTTAACAACTTTATCTTATAAAACCATGAACTGTAACCACTCTTAATGTTTAAAAGGAGTTGTAGGAATACCAGAACAAGGGTTCTAAAACCTTGCATTGTTTTGGTCAGCAAAACTCAAATCACACCTTCTACTATGAACACATATTAAGACTGATGAGATCTTGAATACCATACAACACTGCTTGATCCAAATGCTTGACCAAATTGACAACATAGATAGAGTTAGCAACCATATTTACAGAATTAGAAAACAAAGTAAAAGCTAAAAGAATAAAGCTTAATCAACTGAGGAGATCTCTGTTGAATTACTGTTTTACATTCTCAGTGATTATCTTTTCTCTAAGCTACAGCTGCTTTTCTGGTTTTCTCGGATCCATCTGTAAAAACTGAAAAACTGTTATACTTTCCACTGGAATAGGAGAACAAATTTGTTTCCCTTCTTTCCCTTCAAAAGGAATCTCTCTTCTCTGGTCTTTTTTTTTTTTTTTTTTTTTTTTTTTTTAAGGTTGCTTACTGTATGCTATCTAAAAGATTTTTTTTTGAACTGTTGTAGTTTATTTAGCAGGTTAGATAAAGATATATACTGATTGTTTAGAGGGTTGGTGTTATTTTTTATATTACACTGAGCTACTTTGGATTGGAGGTTTTGTACAACTTTTTAGATAAAGATGTGATGGTTGTTATTTTGTTTTGTTTTAGGAGTAGTTTTAAAAACTGAAAAAATTATAGAGTTATTACAAGGAATATTTACATTAATACTTTTTTTGTAAGATAGTTTTGGAGTATTTAATTTGTTTATTAAGTCTTAATTTTTTTTTTTAGCTTTTTTTTTAATAAATTCTTAAAATTGTTGAGGTTATTGAGGAAGCACAGTTATTTGACATGAGGGGTAAAAATTTACGGGGTAATTTGCTTTACGGGTTGAGATTAAAATTTTACATTCTTTGGCTGTATGCTAGGGTCTTAGAGCTTCTTACTAGTGGCTTGGGTTATCTAGGGTATCTAGAGAGGTGTCTTGGGTTCTTACATCTCTTTCTTTTCTTTGCACTAAAAACACATCTTTGGTAGTTTTATTTAGGGTTTGCTACATGTATTGAAAAATGCATGGTTGAGTGAGTAAAAGAATTTTAAGTCTAATCAGAATGTGAAAAGCTATCATTTAAAAAACTTCTACATTATTACTGATTTTCACATTTTTGAAGAAATTTAAAGTCTGCAGTCTTTTGTGGACTGGTGAAGCACAAGGGTTGGAATTTTTGTATAGACTACATTTTTGTATCGTGTTCTGTGTTTATTTGCACTTGATGGAACTTCACATTCTTTACTGAAATTTGTTTGAACTTTGTACTTGTTAAAACACAAATAAATCCACGTCCCCACAGGGACTGAAGAACTTTTTCAAGATTCTAGTGGTGAAGAATGGGTCTTGATGTGAAAATGAAACTTTGATCTGTTTTGCTTTACAAAATTGTATAGAAACATATAATATAACAGTAATTAGAAATTAACTAAATGATACAATTAATCAATAAGACATGTGAAATCATACAATTATCAAGCACTAAACTGTCATCTTAGGGTCTACAACAGCTGACAAGCTTTAAAACAACAGAGAATGGAAGAAATCATGTTCGGATTAATGTTTTTTTAAGTTTTCTTTGAAAATTGGTTCAGCTGTCAAATTGTCAAGTCAAAAGGACTCGAATACTTTTTTGCTGCAGAAAAATATTTGGGTTGGTTGTCAATTACTCTATCTAAGTAGAGCTGGAGCTTGGCTAGAGCTCGAAGTCTAGGTGGTGGGTATTATTTAACATACTTTCCAAAACAAAATTCTTAAAAACAACTATGAATAAGAAACTTTAGGGTTAAAAATCATTCACACTATGAAATCATTGAATTCTTCTGAAGTTTTTGTCAGGATGAAAATTTTTCAAACACGACAAACTTTTTCTTTAGAGATCTGAATCTGGTCACAATTAGGATTGTGTGCTTAAATTTGGACACAGAGTGATTAATTTCTACACAAAAATGAATTTATCATTTGAATCATATTATGATTTAAAGGTTTATACAAAAACTCATAAAATGGAGAAAATGTAACTGAATGAAAGACTGATTACTTAATACAAAATTGAACTTAAAAACTCTAAGAAGTTAACATTACAACTGAACTCTTTGCTGGAGTACTTTTATAACAATGACTGAAGAAAACTCATGAAATTAACAATCTGGATAACAACTTAAAACCTATGAGTAGTTAAGAGATAAAATTACAGGATCTTGAAGGGACACGTGTTTTATAGATGATCACACAAAGAAACAGAGAAACACATGAAAGCCGGCTGTAAATACTACAACAATACCTTAATGATCTTTCTTATCACAAAAATCTGAGAATTCTAATTATAGAATCAACTTATCAACAGGAAGTGTTTGAAGAGGTAAAACCAACTTTTTTAAGGTATTCATATAACATCAACAACCATCATTAGTCATCAGTATTACTTATAAAGATTAAGAATAATAAATGTTACACATTCAATATCAACAAGCTCCAAAACTCTAAACTGTTGTTGTCAGGCAGCGGATACGACTTTACAGATTGTCTATACAGATCTTCTATAGAGTTCAGAGGGGAGCGGGGGGGCAACTGGCTGGGCCAGAGTAGAAGGAAACGGGGGGGCAGACGGCTGGGCTCGTCTCTCTCCCAGAGACAGCTCAGCGAACTGGTGCAGGCATCATCGCTGCTGCCCAGGTGTAAGATAGAGAGGTTGAGGAGTCTGATAAGAAGACACGATGGCAGTTCGCTCAGAAGTTTTGGCGGCTTTCTCAGAAGCCTTGGCAGCTTGCCCAGAAGTTTTCACAGCACTTGCACGTTCTTCAGAGATAGATTCAACAGGTTCAGAGGCCCCGTTTGCACCCCCCTATGAGTGTCTGATATCAGCCCCAAGTCTTCGACTGCATCCCGCTCTGCTTTCTATTGTTTCAATGCCTCAAAGAGCGATCTCCGCGTAACAGCTAAACTGATAGCGTTTTCATTTCTTGTCCTGATAATTTCTCACAATCTGTTTTTGACTTTTGTTCATGCCTTAATATTAAATGTAGCACCAGGATCGGTGCCAAAACCTTGAGTCCAACTCTCCTTTTTTCCTAACAAAACTTACCATGCAGTTAAGACAGTCTCTTCTTCTTGAAATAAAATATTTCTTATTATTATTAGTTGGTGGCTCACTTAATTCCAGGTGTCTTGATAGAAGAAAATCAGGTCCGGACCTTCTTATGGCACTTACTGCCACACTCGCTTCACCAACCACTGCCCCCCCCACTCCTTCCCAGTGGGTCACGGTTGCTAATCGCTGGGATCCCGATAAGGGTTCGACTGAGTATCTCGATAAGGATATCTTATCACGTCAGGGGGTCACCAGATGTCGTTGTTGGGGTGGTCACGACACAACAAAGAGACCAGAAGAAGTCTCATTTGGCATCTCTTTAATACAAAATATGTCTGACTTTTTATACACTCTGTGATAGTTTATACTTCTTCTACCTTAACTATTGGCTACAATAAATCAACATAACACCATTGGTGAAAAGTTACAGTGACTTAACTAACTTTCTAAAAATACTCCATATAGCTGCGTAGCACTTGTCTTTCTTCTGTTCCTCACTTCTCTTGGTCTCCTTGGTTACAGCCTTGAAGACAGCTCCTTATCAGCTACTTCTTTGCTTCTTGCTCCTTCAGCTAACCGGCCCACTGTTAGCTCCTTCCACAGTAAAGGAGGGAAAAGGAGGGTCGTATCAGCTTCATTCTTCTTCATGGATACAGACTTTTCACTTCAGATAATGGAACGGAGCAATTCCTTATTCACAGGGAGAAATTGCAGGACATGCAAATTAGTAACCTCTATTACATAACATGTACTTGTGAGATTTCCCTCTGAACTGGTACAGTACTATCAAAATGATAGGTTTTGTGGGTTTTTTGCTGGCACTGGCTTTTGTCTAATCAGAGAAATACTGTAGTGTTTGTTTAAAGATTTTTACCAATGGCAGCATCAGCGAAATACAAAACTAGGCATCCAAAACGAAGTCAAGGAAGGAGGGAGACTGATATATCCTTTAGAGGCAATAGATAACTGTTAATTTATAAACTCATGCTCCAAGTTCTTATAATTGATCAGCTAACTGAATTGACTCATACTGGAGCCACACAGCAGAGATAACGCAGTAAAAAGATGTGAACCAGAAAAAGATTGTTCCTGTTAACAGCAGTTCACAGTTAGATCTGATTACTTGTAATATTAGGTGGTGTTCTGCAAAGTTTACTAGTTTGCTGCACTCCACAGATCTGAGAAAGTTCTTAAGGAGCTGACAAAAATATCTTTATTGCTTTCCTCAGTCTAGTCTTGTCTCTTATCTCACTCAGTTACTTAGAGCTTCCCAATATTTGGTATTAAAATAGAGGAAACACTCTAAAATGTCAGCATTTAAAGACAAATTCTAAATTATCAAGAAAATTGTAGACTACTTAAGTAAAGTTCAGTTTATTTTGTTTATGTTTGAACTCAGCACAGCAAAATTGCTTACCCTGTTTTTATTTCCTAGACACTGAAATACTTGCATAAAATATCAGTGGTGGTTTCAGTACCATCACCTGAGTAGAAAAATTCTTTGCATCGAGCACCACTTGAACACAATACACACCAGTACATTAATATTTTTTTCTTTTAATGGCATACTGCAGGAAGGATTTCTGTCAGCAGAAATGGTGTGCCTGTGTGACAGAACCATGTAGTCTGTATATATCCTGAAGTCACAGGAAATACATCATGAATTCTGGATTCTCAGAAGGGTACTATGAGAATAAGACAATAAAGCAAAGGAAATACTATTTCTGTAGCAGACAGTGCCTTTTTTCACCACCATAAAGGCTTCTTAAAATTTTACAGTTGTCAAATTAGGAGGAGGGGTTTTTATGGGCAATCTTCTCTGAAGTGGCAGAGGGCATTATAGTAACTTGTGCTACAGTATTTCTTTTCTGTGTGTTATTCACAATATAGAGAGAAAACAGTACAGAAGACGGTATTTGAAGAAATTTTGTGCTGTCTTGATTGAGACAGATGTGGATGTGGAATCTAAAGCTGCAGTACAGTTTTGTGTTGTCACACAAAAAGATGCAGTAGGACCCTAAATATTAGTTTACAAAAGAGGTTCGCAAGTAGAGCTTGAACTTAGGGTCTTGTTGAGTAGAGAGTATCTGTTTTGAGTTAGCAGGCACACTGCACAGTGGAAGTGAGCTGTACAGCTGAGAAGTGAAAGCTGGTATACAGCATTTCAATTCGTGCTATAGATTTCATTCTCTCAAGCAACAGCTCTGTACATTCTTTATTTTCAAATAATTGTAAAGTTTTTTAAAATGAACATCTATTAATAAATTCTAGTGGTTTATTTTTTCTTGCTTGTTTTAATGATGTTGTTTGCCTTTTTTGCAGAAAGGAGTATCAAGGGTTTTGTATTCATTGAAGTATAAATGTTTTTAATCCTGAAGATATTGCAAATTAGGACAGTAATTCTCTTTATGTTATAAAAAGCCTAATTTTCTAACAAACAATTAACTATATAAAATACAATTAAACATTTGTATTTTGAGATTAAAAATTAATTAACTGCTGAAGCTTATTCTGAATATATAATCTATCTTTGATATTTCAGCTTTACTCTGCAATACTGGAATTTTTAAAATTTTGAAATAATGACATTTTGCCAACCCTACTGAGATGTGACATTTAACTTCATTTATTTTCAGTTTGCAGAAAAAGCTTGAGCATGTAAAGACAACACATGCACATCTAGATAAGGTAATTACCAAAAATACTGCTTTTATGTTTTTGCAACAACAGGGCTGTTCAATATTGCATGCTAATTTTGTTACCATTTCAGAAGGTTTCAGTTAGGGAGTAATGTGTTCTAGGGTATTTGGAAGATGACCTAGATTATACAAAAGGAATGTGCTTTGTGGTAGATAGATTCTAAATGGCTATATTAAGTCTCACTTTTAAAAATGGCTTATAAGCTTCCAGTGCTCCAGACAGTCATGTCATTGGTTGATTCACATTGAGAGTATTAGTGAACCAAATAGAACTACTTTTTTTTTAGGTATTTGCAGAAACAAGTCCTAAATTTCTAGCCAGTCTGTCCTGTGGGTTTTCTATCCAAAACAAAATCTCTCTGGTGTACCTAGGTGGGTAGGGTTCACCCATAGGCCACGAGTCCCCTCAGTGGCTGCAAAAAAGTAAAAACTTCCATTTTTTTTAAGATGTCTTAGAAAAATGAGCTTTCTGCAGATTTCTATGATTAAATTTAATTTTCAGGTTAAATTATGGTGCATACAATACCTGTGTTTTTTCTTTTTAAACTGCATATTTTAACTGTGAAGTTGCTGGTCTTGAAAACAGGAAAAGGCAATTATAATTTAATTTTGGAACTAAAGATGAAATGCAAAATCAGTTTGTGCTTAACTATAATTACAATGACAATGTTGATATTTTTGTTTAATCAAAATTTTAAAATATGCTCAGTTATAGACTCTTAATAGATCCCTAAAGTAGATGGAAATGTTAAGTAGAATCCTTCCTGAATGTTATGAGTTGTAGTATCCTTATATTATTAAGGAGATTATTGTAGTTTTGTAGTGTGGAGCCATTCGACAGAATTCACTGTTACTATCTGTGTTTAGTTTAACACCCACATATTTAAGATGATTGTTGAGACATTTGAGGCATAATGAGGGCAGAACAGTTCTCACAGTATTCTGCAAGTCCTTGTTGTAAGACAAAGTGTGCTTATTATCTTCATGTTGAAGGTCAACAGAAACAAACTGCAGTGTGCTGGGAGCACAGGGAATGTCGGTCTGACGTGTTTTGAAACTGCTCAGAGTGTTAGCTCTTGGTTATTTAGATAAGTTTACTTGGTCATTAGGACAAACATTTGCTGCTTGTTGCTTTAATTTTTCTTTCCTTAAGTTAGACTAGTCATCAGAAAGTAGTTGTTTGAAACCATTTCAGGAAGTAATTCCCTCTCTGTTCTTTCATACCACTGAGCAGTTACAGTGACAAAAATAAGACATTATTTTGTCTTCAAATAAATCATTAATTTTAAACTACATGTTTTATTTTCATATTTTCTTTTGATAATTGATCCTGAGCAGTTAGCTGGCACAAAACTTAACTTCAGACATCTTGATTTTCTGAATCTATTCCTACATAGTCTGTTTATAAACAGCTTTTTTTACAAGGCAAGTACAGATTGCCTTTTATGAAAACTGTGTTGCTTATTTTTTGTCTGATAGAATTGTCTGCAAGATCAGTAAGCCAAAAAAATAGCATAGTTAACCATATTTGAAAGCTTGATCATAATAATCTGTACAGCAAAGGATTACATGGTAGCAGCTAATGGCATTAAACTGTTTGAGGCATTGTGTATGCCCTGTAAGTGCACACCCAATCAGAAACAAAAAGTAGAGCTTAATTTAGCGAATTAGAGCAGAACAGAAATAGAGATTTTTTTTTTTTTAAATTTGATCTTGTCATATACTTGCCTTTTTATGAGGCCAAGTCATAAAGCATACTTTTTGAAATTACTGTTATGGGATGTTTATTCAGTGTGGTAATAATAAATGCATCTTGCCGTTTGCAGGCTATAATTACAGTAACATTTGAAGTGCCAGGAAATATAAAAGAAGAAAACTTAAATCTCTTTATTCAGGTAAGTAATATATCACTTTGAACTCAAAAAATCATTGTAGCTTTTTATAGAAACTCATCTCATGCCACTTTGTTTATGGAAACAACTTTTTCTTTTCATAGAATCTCCTGTGGGAGAAGAATGTGAAAGATAAGACTGGATGCACCATGGATGTCATAAGACTGAAGGTTAGTCAGAAATTATCAGCTTCTTTGTTTTATGCTTTCCATCTTTACACCTAAAAAACTGCATTGTGCTCTCACTTACAGATCTATCAAAGGTGCTGCTGATCACTGTAGCAGAGCAGGTGAAATGGAGAGTAGCAAGTTTTTGTTCCATGAAGGACTCAGAAAGAGATATCTGGCAGAGGAGCAAACATTGATCCTGCTTGTTTTGAATGGGGAGGGCAGATGTATAGTCCTGGGACATCAGTGGCAGGGTTAAAAATTAAGCCATAGTTAAATCACTTTTAATTTTTTTCCTCCATTGCTTTGAGAGTTTCATCCGTCTCACATATCTAGGGTTGGGATACTGTAGATTGGATCCTATAGATTTCTAGGTGTACTTAAAATTGTTGCCATAATATGCACAAATTAAATTTGGCGTAACATAGGAATGCAGTAGTAGTTGTGGTCTACAATTAACAACTTTTTACAGTATATAAAGTAATATACAGTATTATACAGTATATATGCCAGGCTGTAGTTTTAAAGACACAGCTCATAAGTATTCATCTTCATGGGCACTTTGTATGTTTTTCAGTTGCTTGGTTTGGAGAAGAGTAGAGGTGACAATTTAGTATCTACTTTCATTTACCTTATACCAAGCAGCCAAGTAAATAATGAAAAAATGAGAATCCAGTAATTTGTCAGACTGTAAGAAATACAAGAAAGTAAAGCTCTTGTTTGTTACCTGAGAACCCTTAACCATCATAGATAGCAACATTATTATTCTAGTTTTATTAGAAGGAAAGTTGTTTCCTTTCTTTCTCAGCAACAAAATTAGAGTATCCTGGTCTTCTTCTTTCTAATAAATAGAAGAGAGTAGCCACTGATGTATCTGAAGCTCCCTAAAAAGCAGTAATGCACAAGCACGTTTTTGGTATATTGAGCATTGGAATCAAATTAATCCTTAATGAGATGTGAAGCCTGTGATAAGATGTGTGCTGTCCCTCAGTCACAGACAAATACAGCAAAGCAAATGAACCCCAGGCAACTAATTACACAATAGGTTCCAAAGTTTGTTGCTTTTATGTTTATATTTTATCTGCAGTCATAATCCTTTTGGTAGTAATAGTCGTAGAATTCCAGCTAATAGGTCAAATGGAGACTTACTTCATGAAATATTTTTAACTCTTTCCTTTTTTAAGTAAGTGTCCTGGTTTAGGGCAAATTCTGGGAGGAACTTCCAGGAAGTATAAGACATGTTTTACAGAACGTGTTCCACTAAAATATTTTAGAACATTTTGCTATATAGTGATGAAAACTGTTTTAATAGAGCTTTTGATATGTGAATTAATGGACTCACACTGACTGTGATCCCTTCTAAGTCTGTTGCTGGTTGTTTTACTTCACAAATGTTTATTCTTTCTCCAATATTCAGAGATTCTGTTTCAGGAAAGTAAATATACTGAGCATAAGAGCTTAATTTGATTAATCCGAAACAAACATTTTTGTTCATTTTACATCATTTTGTTGGCAGGCAGGCTTTCATGGACTCCCATGTTAAACACCATATATGTATTCAAAGAGGCATAGTAGATGATGACATCTAATTTTTGTTTGGGCAGGCCAGGTACTGACAAATGAACAGAAGACAAAGTATGATAAAGTGGAATTCTTAGCCTTTAACAAAATAAGGAGATGTGAAAATGGATGTTATGAGTAGATGTGTTGATTGATAATATGTTTATTTTGTCTAACAAGTGCATAGGTGCCAGAAGTACTGTTGCCTGCTTGAACTTGATTGAAAGTTTTGGTTCCCCTCTTATATATTTTATTTTTAAAGTTTTGTTTATATACCCTAACAGTTATTTTTCTGATAAGGGACTGGTATCTATTCAAGGCAAATCTCATCAAGTGATAGTCCAAGGTGTCCATGAGCTCTATGACCTAGAAGAGACTTCAGTAGTCTGGAAGGAAGATGAAAAGAGAACAAACAGGCTGGTCCTAATTGGTAAGAGGAAATTACACATCTCCTAGTTTAAGAAGCTGGACAGACAGGCTCACAGACTTGGCCAGTGAAAAGCAATCAGGCTAAACTGGCCAGAATTAGTGCAGTGAGCATGTTCAGCATAACCCTCTTTTAAAGACTTATCCATCAAAACTTCCTGAAGTTCAAAATTGCAGCTGAGAGAAGTCTACACTATCCCTATTAGTGCCACAAAATCAAAACAAATCAAATCAATAAAATACTAAGCTTTCATAAATTATGTTGGCATATTTAATCTTATTTCTGTAGTTGTAAATTGGGTGATGGGAATAGTTTGAATGTTTGATCAAATATTTAGTAACTGTAAGGAAGGTTATTTTAGCTTTAAAATGTTTAAAATCAGTTTTGGTTTTGGAAAACTTGCAACGCTGAGGTTCTGTGTTTCTATTTTCTGTTGATTTGTTTGCTGTGCAAAGTATTTTATTACCAAAAAAAATCCTACTTTTTTCCCCTTTCCCTTATTTGTGCAGCTTGAAGTCTGCTGTTACCTTAATTTTAATACTGCTATTCTCACTGATTGATATAATAAACACTTTCTTAGATTAGAAGAAGCTACTTGTGTGTGATTTTTTGTAATGCGCTCTAAGATACAGTTAGATATTTTATTTCTCTTTACAGGCAGGAACCTGGATAAGGAGATCATCAAAGAAGTATTCATAGCCACTGTGAGAGAAGAAGGAGGAAACAGTTGACATAAAACTATAAAGAAAGATGAAATGTCTGGTTTGATTCTGCAAGGATTTTAGGGGAGAAAAGACTGAATGGCATGGACTATTGTAGTTTCTATATCCTCTTGCAGTTTATGCAACAGTTGAACCCTGAAGTCTTCCTAAGAATTCCAGCTAACCTACTGCTTTAAGATTAGCTCTTATGGTCTAGAATCAAACACAATTCTCCTTTTTGGATTTGGCTGAAGCTGTGTCAGCAACATCATGTAACTGTGCAGAAATGGAGAGAGGCAAAAGGCTGTTAGGAAGCATTACTGTAAGGGTATGGGAAACATGTTTGAAGCCTAGTGCTTTCTCTTGCTAACTCTCTTCCACTGGGAATGAAGCAATAGTGATTATTGCCAGTGATGTAATCACAGTACAAAATGTTTAGTGTTTACTATTAAACTGTCTTCCATCTCTTTCCACTTGCTTTGTGATTTTTGAGTGTATGCACCCATCCCAGGTACTGTTCTACCTGTAAACCTGTTGTGTAATGAAACCAAATACACAGGTAGCAGAGGCACAAGATCATGTGGAGTAAATGCTGTCTACAAAAAAGCTGTGAATGCAGTGTTTGGTCACATTGTCAGCAGTTTGAAAGAGGTAGCTGAACTCTTCGATCTTCTAGGCCATCACCCTGGCAGTTCACGATCTGGGGAAATGAGGACTGCACATTTCCACTGTGTTCAGGCTGTTCTGCAATTTTTTCTTATGGGGTTCTGTGACACTACTTTGAAAACCTAGTGTGAAGATTTTATCTCTCTACTCATTACAATTTAGAGTTTAACTTCCTGCCCTGTACATTCTCCAGTACTCTCTGTTCACCTCTTAGCTTTAGAGGAATTTTGACTACAGCTGTGTGAAAGCAAAATGAGTCAATGCAGGAAGATAATATAGAATTAGAAATGTTTGCAAACAAAATTCTAGAACATGCAGTTCTGAAGGATGGACTTTCAGCTATAGTGCTTGCTGTGGATGCTTGGTGATGTGTCTGAGTAAGCAGAAACTTGTTTTCACTACAAGGAGTGTTTTACTTGTCTCACAGCTAACATTAAAAATAAAGAAAGAGGGCCATTCTCTCAGTCTCCTTCAGCCAGTGTCAGCAGTCTTAAATTTTTTCACTTTGCTTCTACTGGAATATATGAGTTTGGAATTTGTTTTCAAAAGAGCTGAGGATGAAGACATTAATCTTTCACTGCCTAGAGCTGGTGTCTCAACTGATTAAAATACTTAAATCATGTATCTTAGCTAAGATAGAGCTCTTTACTCTCCCAGTAGATACATCAGTGGGCATGACTTCATTGCTCACATTAGAAGTAGTTTTATAACTTGAAGTAGTTTTATAACTTGAAGTAGTTTTCAGGATTTAATTTTTTCTCTAAAGCAAGGTATAAAGAGAGCAATCTGCTTACACCATGTTGCTTTCTGTTTAGCAGACCTTGGTGACATTTGAGTGACCTGTTATAGCTGAGTGATACTGTTTCCCATAGCAGTTAGAACTCTTCATTTTTAAAACTAGTATATGTTCTCACACTGTTATGGACTGCATAAATGACACATAGTCCTGCATGAAAATTTGTCAAATGATTGCCATCACTGTTACTCATTGAGTAATAAGATCACATGAATTTAAATTTGTGGATAACACATTTATAATTTTTGGTGCTTTTGCTTCCATTTGTCATAGGAAAAAGTGATCAAAATACCTCTTATCTTATAAATGCCTCACATAATGGAGGAACTTTTTTCTCTTTGAAGCAATTAACCTCTGAAGTGTTGCTAACTTTCAATTTGAAAAAAGTTCAGAGACCTAATAAGAGCTTCAACCATGAGTCGTAAGGGTAAAAGCCATGGATGGTTTACACAGAATCATTTTTTGGATGCTTATTTTTTAATATTTGTTCACCCACCACACTCTAAAACTTCCATGATGACTGTCAATATACCGGGGGTTTTTGTTGCTTTAGAAGGGCATCTCTGCAGCTGGAAGTATAGGCTCTGCACTTTGTATAGCTCATGTTGGTACCACTTACCCTTTCTTGCTAGGACTTTCCCTGCACTACTTGCAGTGTTCGTGTCAGAGAAGCTCTAGTCAGTATGCACATCTTTGTCTCTGCTTGTCTTCTGTAAACTGCCTGCATATTTCAAGGCATCCCCTGGGATGGAGAGCAAGCAGCACCTCAGCAGGGGTGGAGTTTGTACTCCTCTTGCTGGCTGTCAGGATGCCCCAGTGCTTTGTTCCCAATTCTGTTCACACTCAGTGACACTAGAAAAATGCCAAGCACCTCATCTTTATCCCCATCTGTTGCCATCTTGTTGCAAAGGTTTCATACCTTCTTGGTGATTTCTCATGGGCACTTTCTTACCTTCTTGGTGAATCCTCACGGCACTGACTCCTTCTCAGCACAGCCAACAAACCCCATCCAACCTTCTCAACCAGCCAACCTACTCTTTTACAATACCTCTCCTAACTGGATCCAGCTGTGGCCTATTAAGGCCTGTTGCTAATTCTAGATAATTAGCACAGCTGTAACTCCTTAGGGGCAAGGTTACCTTCACCACTATCTCTATTCTCCTACATTCTATCTATCCACACCCATCTCCCAAGAAGACCACTGGTTACATTTCCTGGATATTTATTTAACCAGTATTTTCTGGTCTGTTCTTACATGCCCAGCCTGGGGTGCTATGTCATGTCTTTGCATCATGCCAGAACCAGAAGAGGAGGAAAGATAATGACAGCTCTGTAAAAGCTGTGAAATTGCTGTAATATTTGTATTACTGGGAGCTATGCCAAGGATGGCCTTCTCCAAAGAGCTACAATTGGGTTGAAGTAAGGTTGTGGGGGAGGGTGAAAGGGACAGGCACACACCACTCAGGCCTGCCTTGGAGTTGTGGTATGGATGGTGGGGCAGCCAGGGGATGCTCAGGTTGGGGTGAGGAGGGATCTGGTGAAGACAAGCATTAGCAGCTCTTCCTGTGCAGGTTCCAACAGGGGCACAGCCACGCCTGAAGAAATGATGGCCATCTAGACTGGCCCTACTTCCCAGCCAGATGGCAGTAATGGTGCTTCAGTCCCTCCACCAAGGGCCACAAAGCTCTAGGTAGGAAGTGATCTTGTCAACAAACCCCACACATTTTGTTACCTAGAAGAGGCTGAGTTGTTTCTGTCCTAGAGGCAAATTGCAATGATTTGGTCACTCCTGTGCCTTCATGAATATCAAACATCTGCAGAAATGGACTTTACAAAGCTCCATTTTCCCCCACAATATACTTTCCACATGTTTTTGGAAGCTCTGTTAAACTTTAACAAAAAATATAATCTTGCACTCCTGTGTCATTTGTTTATATCACCTGTTAGGTCTAATCTTTAGAAACTACCTGGGAAGATGAATGGATGGTTTAATTTATTATGTCCTTTAAAAATTTAGGCAGTTCCAAATTTGGTAGTATTTTTCTAGATTCTTTTAAATCCTTATGTAAAACCTCCCACCTGCTGGAGCATGGAACATGTTGTCCATGTTCCATTCCAGCTCCTGTAGGCAGGATGTGACCAGAGGGGACAGGGTTGGATTCCCAGCCACCTGCTGTCCTCTTGAGCCACCCTCTTTCTCAACTGCTGTCAGCAGCCCTGTAGAGTTCAGAGCAACAGCATCTGCCTCTCCTTGTGGGGCATTTCCTCTGCTACCAGGAACATGGGGCCAAACAGTATCCTTTTTTTGTTACTCCTCCTGCAGTCCACATGAGCAACCATAATTTGCTCACCTGCACTGCTCTACAGCTTCACATTACATCCACATTTGTTGTATAAATTGTATATACATTATATACACTACATACAGGTCCAGATCTGCATGGTTTTGACTGATGGTAGGTGAATTGTTTATAGCAGTGGGATTCCAGTGCTAGGCCTAAGCTGCATTTCTTGTCTCCCCTTATGCCTGTACTCCTCTACAACACTTGTCTCCACTTCTCAAGGTCGCTGATATTGTATCAGTCATGTTTCCCTATTCTTCATCCTTACATTAAAACCATAAATACCTCATCCTACACAGAATGGCAGCTTGTTAGTACTAGCTGTAAAAACACTAGCTGTAACATCCAAGGATAAAAAAGTAAAACAAATTAGCAATTTACACCTGGCCAGTTAGAGAAACTGCTGTCACAAATAAATTGAAGAAGTCAGAGCTTCAGGCAGGTCAGGAAAAGATTGGCCAGACCAGGTGTGGCAAACCTCAACCCTGAGGCACACTCAGTGCAAAACCTGTGGCCTGTTACTGGCAGTGGCATCCTGCAGGATGACAAGGCTACGTTCCCATCCCAATGCCCTACAGATAGTCCTTTGCTCTTCCAGCTGTGTAGGTGCAGCAAAGGGAACAAAGAGGAAATCAGAGTCTGGCTATGGTCAGCAGCTTCACAGAGAAACCCGCTCAAGGCATCAGAGTTCCAGTGCACCTTGGCCTCAGTCCCGCACACCAACATCCATAGAAATTTTCAGAAAAGAATGCAGCTGTAACAGATTAAGCATCAAGCAGTCTAGGATGTGTATGGCCCATCAAGAAATGAGTAAAGCACTTGGAACTTGCATTTACTTTAAAATACTGGCCTAAATTGTGGTTTCATTGTAGTGCTTCCAGTCTTTGAGCAGAATGGACTTACTGATCTTACTGTCACTCAGCTAGTCTGAAGTACCTATTAAATTCACATTGCTCTCTTAATAGGATTCAAATCTGCTGCATCTCTTTCAGTTCAATAATTTCAATTGACAAGCACAACTAATTTGTTATTTGGTTTCTTTATTGCTTTTTCTGTACTGTTCTTGAAATGTTCAAGCTTCTTTTTAATCAGAATGAGCAGCTAATAATAATCTTATACTGTTAAAATTGGTATTTTTTATGATTTCACTTAAATGCAACAGTAAAGGCTAAATCTCTCTGTCTTGACCAGTGCAGAATTTTGTTTTAATTCACAAGAGGCTGGTTAGAATCACAGCATTGAATCTCATCTTATAGAGAAAGTTTATAAAAAACACCTACATATATACTAAAATTGCCTGCTAGCAATATATAACAACATAATGCCATTCTAATGTTACAAGATGAAAGGACCTGGTTGTTATAAATTGATATGGCTGCTATCAATGTACTGGGGGCTACCTCATCAAAGACTTGACTTTCCTATGACATTTAAGCTGTACTTTCCAGGAGATTTCAAGCATAACCATAGAATCACAGAATCATAAAATGATCCCACAGAATCGGATGGGATTTTCAAAGGCCATCTAGTCCAACCCCTGCAATGAGCAGAGGCATCTTTAACTAGATTGATTTGCTTATAAATCACAGTCTGAATGAACAAAACTTTTAAAATCATAATGGTTGTATTTGCTTCTTGGTAAATGTTCTGCTGCTTGTTTCTGAAAACATGCCTGTGGGACCAGAGTCTCTCTTAGAGGAATTGGAGGAAGATGAGAAAAACGAAAACTGACACAGTTGCTGGAGTTCTGGTTTGCAAACAGGGATATCAGAAAATCATATCTCAGAGGACAGCACATAATTGAGTAAAGCAGCATATTACTTAAGCTGAAATAAAGACTTTGCTATCCAATAAATAAGAAAATTTTACTCAGTTAAAGTCAGAAGACCTCTGCTGTTGTTTCCAGGGGAAACCGAATTTGTTTCAAAAGAGGATTTATCCCAGCGGCTCTATTTCTTTGTTTTTCCCTTCTAGTAGCCGATGTACTCACAGGTAGGAAAAGCCACATTAAACGAGTATTTGGTGTCATCTAGCGGTAACATTTGTTTCAGCAACTTTGTCACCTGTACAACGATGCAGATGCAGTCTTCTAGGAAATTCTATCTGATTTTGGTCTTATGCTTTCTTCTAGTTAACAAAGGAGAGAGACTATGGAAAATAAAAATCTGTATCCCTTTATACTTATGGTTCACTCTAAAATCGGAGTGAGATTTTTTCCCCCTGCAAAGTCTTTCCTCTTTCTTCTAAAAGTAAGAGAATACTGACTTCATGGTTTTGATGGAGGACTTTGCTGACACAGTTGCAATATTGAATTATGATATCAAAAGTGCCTGAGA